AGCGACCGACGATAATTGTGTCGATTTAACTTCGTTCGTCTTACTTTTCGTACTACACCAAGGGAGGAAAAACCTACCTATTTTCCAAAAAACCTCCTCTGAAAACAAAACTCTAAAAATTTTCGATGGTTATTGGAACTGACGATAAAAACAACCCGTTATTTTAAGTCGCAGAAGTACATGGCAACATCACGAATCACTTTATTGCTTTTCTCCAAAAACCGCTCACACATGAATTCCATTCATTGTCAACCACTGACGAATGCTATTCACATCTGCAAACACCCCGGTCAAATCGCCTTGACCGCACCCTTTGCCCCAGGAGATGATTCCGACGAGTCTGGCTGCACAAATTAACGGTCCTCCGGCATCGCCGGCACAAGCATCTTCGTCGTCTCCGGCAGCACAGATCATCGTATTGGTCACAGTCAAAGGAAACAACCTTTTGGCACAATTCCCCTGATCTAGGACATTCACTGTAGCACTTTTTAAGCTGCCGATCATCCCGGAACCAGTAAAATCCGTTCTACCAAAACCGGAAATTAGACATTTCGCCCCAACTAGCAAGTGGTCCGCGGGATTTTTTATCTTGACTTGAGCTACGGTTAGCGTCTCTTGTAAAGGATTCATTTTTTTGAGCAACGCGTAGTTGAAATCTTTGGTGGAAGCATTAAAATTGTTGTGAATAATTATTGCGTCGGGTTTGAACACGTGACCTTCTCGATCTGCGTAATTCGAGCCCACCCGAAGACTGATGTCCATTGGGCTTAGCTTGAATACACAGTATGCTGCGGTTAGTATGTAGTTGGGCGAAATTATCACTCCACCGCAGATGAGGCCAGTGTTGGGAACTGACAAAGATACCATCCACGGTGTAGATTTTATGTCATCCATGTAGCCTCCGAAGATCCCGGAACATGGAGGAACGATCTCCAGCAGGACGTAGAAGGTGACCAGTAGTAGGAACGGTGGTTTTGATAGCATCTTCGTCTGTATACTAAGCGTCAATTAGTGGGGGTTACTCGCTATATAGAGTTCGGAAATCGCTTCGGGCATGGTATGGGCGATTTAAATCATTTATTCATGCTCTGATGTTGCCGAACTGAAAGCTATGCTTTGGATTTCAATCAACATTGCTTTCATCCAACCAAAATCAATTTTCCATAACGTATGTCCAGAAATCACGTGTGAGGGGGGAGGTGGGTATTTGCATCAGTATCAGTATCATCAGTAGTATCATGAATTCTTTGCATATTAGGCGAACTAGGACATACCAAGGGACTAACCGTGGAAACTTTTAAGCAACGTTTGGTGAAAATATGGGACGAAATGCCTCAAGATATCGTACGGTGCCAGCTGTAACGATTTTCAAAAACGGATGCGGCTCGTAATTAAAGGAAAGGGAGAAAGATTTGAATTGGACTAAGTTAAGACAAATGTTAAAGGTACACGAAACAGGAAATACACTGAAAATTAAATTTCACATCATCTTCTCATTTTTATGACCATATACTTTACTGATAAAAATATCGTTGTACTCAGAAAATGAAACTCTATCAGATAATGTATAAAAATCGGTATATTTTTCGAAGTTAAACAACCCAATAGAGAGATTTTAGACAGTAGATATCAGTGAAGTTTTTAGCTATCCTAAAAATGGACCCTTAACTTCTTGACGCCTTATCGACAACATATGCAATGTGTTGCTTGAATGAAAGCTGCGAATCCAAGATCACACCCGAGTTTTTCACATGATTCACTCGTTCGATTGCCGAGCCAAGCAGCCAAATATTATCGGTTGTTGTTTTCGTGAGAACGTAATAGCGGAGCATTTGGCTGGGTTCACTACCATTCTGTTTAAACTGCACCAACTAGCGAATATATTGAGCTGACGTTGAAGAAAGTGACAGTCAGCAATGGAGCAGATTCGGAGGAAGATTTATGTCCTGCATATAATAACCAAGGAGCTTCGATGACCAGATGCACGTCGCACGTGCACGCAATCGCAATTGCATGGTTCAACTTGACGAATGCTGCGGAATGGTCTGAATAATCAATCGTCCGTTTGAACCCGATCCGACATGCATACACTGCAGATTGGTGGTTGTAGAGCGGCCGACTGTAAACCCATGTTGATCAGCACTTAAATACTGCTTGCAATGGGACAGCACCTTTTCCATAATCACTAGCTCGAATAGCTTCGAAACGGCACTTAACGCTGTAATTCCTCGATAGTTATCCACAGCTCGTTTCCTTCCTTTTTCGTGGACGGGAAACATGTGCTCAAATTTCCAGCAAGATGAAAATATGCCACTGGAGAGAGACATTCGGAACAGGCGATGAAGCGCAATTAACAGGCTAGCAATATGTCTCTTCAAAAATACAGATGGAACTCCATCAGGTCCAGGATTGAAGGATGACTTGAGCAGAGTCGCGGCCTAAGAAATCATCTCAGCATTAACATCAATTGCACCCAGCGTTTGATCATTTACTGGAACGTTCCTGGCAGCCAGGTTAATATGGTCGTTAGTTAGAATTTTATTAGTGAATACACTGGCAAACTTGTCGGAAAAAAGGCGACATACATCCTGAACGGTGGCAGCAACTTCTCCGTTCAATTCCATAGACGACGGGAGGCCAGATTCCCTGCGTTGCTCGTTCACGTAGATCCAAAAGGATTTCGGGTGTAGCTTGAGTTTGCGCTGGATGCCTCGTTGGAAACTTGAAAACTAGAGTCGGTGTATAATGAGTCACGCCAAGAGAAAAACAGTTGAACTCGCATCACGGTTTTCGGAAGATTCCCATTCTTTTCACTTGGCAACAGAGGACTTCTACAACAGCTTCAAATGACTTCTAGCGAAAGAAAAAAATATTGCGGCTGTAGTAAATCATTATATCAGTGATTTTGTCCAATTATCTTAACAAAAAATAGTAGAAATTCTCATTACTAATCATAACCGAGCGTATCCCATGACAATTTAACGCTCACTGCGTGTTTATGCTCAATTCTTCGATTATATTTTATATTTTATTGCAATACCTTTCGTGGACCTTTCATAGCATCGTAATGTTTATTTATTTTGCACGATAGGTAGCCGGTTTGACAGTTCAATAGGTAGACTTGGCTTCACTCTTGGCGTGACTCATTATACACCGACTCTATTGAAAACCATTCACGACTGACTCGCTGGTACATGTGATTCAGCCTCACATAATGTAGTTTCAGAGAAAGCGTGCGATACTTCGTAAATCTTCTCAATGCTGTTCTCTTGATTGCAGGGCTGTTACAAGATTTTATAAATTTGATCCGCGAAATCCGCGACAAAAAAAAACTGTTTTCATTGCCTAAAAATAGCATTTGTGTACATGGCATTTCAAGCTTATTGCTTCATATTGCCTGCTCTCAACTTAGTGTTCTTTGAAGTACTTTCACATTTTAATTAAGAGCTTTCTATGCCTGTACCATCCTATGCCCAAGAAAATAGAGAAATTTTCCAAAACGAAAAAATAAAAGTCCGGACGAGAATCTAACTCACTCACCTCCAGAATGAACTTGCTTTGTAGCTGCGCCTTTAACGACTGAGCTAAAGGAGTATCGAGTGTAACCTTTGAAAAAAAATAACAATCTTCAGTTATTTATGTATAGTATATATTCTGAGTAATTAGTGAAGATAATAAAACACCCTTGCATACACGGAAATAGGTTGGCATGATCCACAAAGACACTGCAAATTTGTTCGGACATATTTCGATACTATAGCTTTATATATTATAGATGATCTTTATAAAGATATTGAATTAGTCTTGGGTGATCTAGTAGAAAAATGTGGTGGTGATCTAGTAGAACCTATAACATCTTGTATAGACACTTTGAATCTGTTTGAACATATTTCGATACTACAGACATTATTGAAGTCTTGGTTGATATAGTAGAACAAAGCAACTGAACTCCAGGACAATTCGGAGAACCGGTATATATGGCAATTACTCACATATATACGATACGTTTATGATTTGACAACGAAAAATGCTAAGTTCATATTGGGAAAAAAAAAAAAGGAAAATGATTCACATTGGACACACCTCAAGGAATTTCCGTTTAAATCCGGTGTGACTTATGGAATTGAGATCATTTCTCGATTATTTGCAGGGTGTTTGGATTGAACCGGTAAAAAATTGAGAGCCAAATGAACAACAAAATTGATGACTGCAAAATAATCCGGAACGGAAAGGTTACAATGAATTCAACAATTTTTGTGAAAGCACATCAGTCCCTTCGCAATTTTCGCGACACCATTTAATGTTTCCGCGATTTTCGCGACTGAAAGTTCAAATCCGCGAAAATCGCGAAATCCGCGCCTGTTGTAACAGCCCTGATTGGCTTCAACCTACGTAGCTCTCTCGTCTGCCAGGGAGGGTGAGACACTTTGTGGTGAGTTCTTTTCGGGACATATGCCAAGACATGTGAAAAGGTTTGCGCTGCAACCTCAACGTCATCTGGATCAAGGATGTTCTCCCATACCATGTTAGACAATACATCTATGATGCTACGGTGTTCAGCTTTACGGAAATCACAATGAATAGCCCCTTAAAAGTGATAAAGAAAGGATCTGTGATCTTCAGACTTTGGTGGTTGTCAAATGAGGTTCTAGATAACGATACTACTTGAAATGTCTATTGAAGAAAGAAAATAAAATAAAAATTAAAAAAGCTGCTTACGTTATTATTGCTTGAACCCACCAAACAAGCTATGTCGTACGAATTCGGCATGGTCCAAAGCATGTTGAATCGATTGTAATGGACATGAAATCCGCGAAAAAATGTAGTTTCGTTTGATTCTAATCTAGCTGAGCCCAGCTTGGCTTTCAACATTCAGTTACCAATGTTCGATCGACTGAATCAGGGCTAATCTTCTTCCTGTTCAAATGAATTTTATAACGTTTGCAGTAACCTTCATTCTTTTTCTATACTCGTGCGATTCTATCAGGTTTGATCAGTTCATGATAGTCGGAGGATACATGGACAAAATTCAACACGTACCGTACGCAGTTTCCTTGAACAGACCACAGTTCGGTCACTTCTGCGGGGCTAGTTTAATATCCAACAAATGGATTATTACGGCGGCGCATTGTGTGAACACAGCCAATGCAGCCGATCTTACGGTTCGTGCTGGATCCACCTACAAGAACAAGGAAGGCCAGCTTCGAAATGTGAAGCAGATTATTTTCCACGAGCAGTACACTCCTAAGATATCGTACGACTACGATGTGGCCGTGCTGGAGATGACTGAACCGTTTCAGTTTTCAGACAAAATCTCTGCGATATTGTTGGGAGATGACAGTCAAATGTATAACATCAACCAGGACTGCCTCGTTTCAGGTTGGGGAACGACAAAGGATTCCAAGAACCCCAACCAGCAACTGAAAAGTGCCATGGTAGCACTGGTTGGGATCACTCCGTGCAGAAAAATGCTGTATCCGAGTGAAGTTTCGGACAGGATGGTGTGTGCCGGTGGTCATAATGACGACTCCTGCCAGGGAGATTCGGGAGGCCCGCTGATGTGCGGCGGAAGGCTTGCGGGGATCGTGTCCTGGGGACAAGGGTGCGGTGTCCAAGGGAAACCTGGAGTCTACACGTACGTTCCTGCCGTGAGGAAGTGGATCTGGCAGAAGACTGGAATTTGAAAAGTTACTGTTTTTACCAATAAAGTATTCAGGATGTAATAAGCAGGCATAATCTGTACTTCTACTTCTATTTTTAATTTCTTGTTGCCTTCTGGGTATTAGCTTATATTTCTTAAGCGCCCATTACACATATCAATATATTGACAATAAATTGACATACTGACAATATTATTGAAAAGGTGATATTGAAGACGATGATTGATGACAAGTATTGACGAAACGCTGATTTTAATTTCACTTTGTCAATCCTCAGAATGTATTGACAAAAAACCGGCAATTTCGCCATCAATATACGAAAATTGACAACATTAATGGCAATACGTTAAGTGGACCCTACACGATTGCTTTTATTGACAATAATCGTATTGTCAATACATTCTATATTGACGTCATTACATCGAGATTGACAATATTTCTGAATTCACATCATCAATATTATTGTCAATAATTCCCCTTCGCATCAATATATTGATGCGTGTGGGGTTTGCTTTAGAGGCCTTTTTACCTCAATTTATTAAAGTCAATATTACTTGTCTCAATTTCCCCACACAAGAAACATGGATCAGCGAAAGAAAGTGTGTTTAGAGTTAATGTTTGCATTCGGGTCCAAACAGAAACAACCTGGACCTGTATGTATTGAAAATACTAGCTACACACTGAATTCGGATCACCGAAGTCTGTAAATTTTGCCGTGTTTTTGAACAGCTGAAAAAATTGGAAAAATTTCATATGACCGTTACTCGAAGGAAATCAATAAAATTTGATTTGTATCATTAAATGGGGTTAACTAGGTTCGTACATTTTTGGAATGAATTTCCAAATTTTTTAAAATTTTCACTGATTTGTAAACTGGAACCGAACAGTTCCATAGTTCAAAAATTACCAAACAGCGGAGTTCTGGCATCCAATTTTATTTTTGATCCTGGTTTAGTGGATATGTATAGAAACCAATTTTCACCCAAAATTTACTTATACTCAGGGTTGCTTCCACTCACTTGCTATAAAAAAAATATATTTTGGAATTATGCAATCATTAGGTGTTATAATGCTATGTTGTACTTGTAAGTAACAAGAAGAGGGTGTTAAGTATGTGTTTAACACATAAAATCTGTCAATATTGCTTTCAGTGCGTCACAATCAGCGATTTTAAGACTCGTGAGCGTATATTATGATTTCATAATTCCGAAAAACATTTTTTTATAGCAAGTGAGTAGAAGTAACCCTGCTTATACTTGCACATTTTCAATTGATTTTCAGGATTTTTAGAATAAATAGTGTTAAATAATGATCTATTCCAGGCCTATTCTTAAGTTCTAGGTGATTAATTCTGGTATCCAATTTTATTTTTGATATCACTGAACTCTCCTTTTTCATTAGAACAATAATGTTTACCTAATGTTATCCATACATATAATGCTTAGTTTTATCATAATGATACACTAGTTTAATCATGATGAAAATCCTCTTATACTTTCTGGCATATGATGATTATTAATGTCAACTATTGATGATTATTAAAGTCAACTAATAACCAGAAGACGTGCAAGAAAGTGAATGTAGGTAATGTGTCATATAAACTGTATTAATGGCCACACATATAGTTTATTAATTAACATAGGATGTACCGTGAACGTGGGTTATTCTGCGTGAGCTCTGATACCAAATTGGTATACCAAATGTTGTAACTGTTTGACAGGACATAGAAAATACACAGGACAACAGATAACATGATATGTGCTTCAAAATTGATCGATTTTAATCAAATCGATTGTAGAGTGCGCGGAATTACTACACGTGTGGAATAACCCACGTTCAAGGTACGCAGTTTCCCAAATAGAAACTATCCTGCTGATGTTTTGGTAAACATTCATAAATGAAATTATGCTGATAGTATTTATTTTATTTTAAAGTAAAAAATATAACATGGTTATGTTTGTGATTTTGTAGAAAATGTACATCCATATAAACGAAGCCTGGGTGATTGGTGACTGTAAAAAGATACATTTTTATTTAGTTTGAAATCGATTTTATAGCACACACGAAGATTTAAACAAATGGCAACACTGCATGCGCGAAGGTGCTTTATGAGTCAGTCGATCTAAATGACGTACGTTCTTCCTCCTCTTGGGTAGGGGAAGAATATTGACAAAGTTAAATGAAAATCATTTTTTCAACAATACTCGTCATCAATGTTACCTTTTCAATAATATTGTCAGTATGTCAATTTACTGTCAATATATTGACCCGTGTAACGAGCGTTTTAGCGTGTTGTCATTAATGTTGTCAATATTTATGCATTGATAATATTGTAAGGAAAATTGACAATACGATGTTTGTCAATATATTGACATGTGTAATGGGCTCTTTAGATCAAACAATTTCATTCTCTAGGTCTAGGAATTATCGAAAGAATTGTGACGCCATGAAAGCTGTGCTACACTTCATCGTTAGCTTAGTGAGTATCATGTTTGCAAGGACTTCCCCCACTCAATTTTGCGAGTCGGTGACTCTCTGTCAATAGTGAAGTGACCAAAGTCACGTCGTGTGACAGAGACCAACACGACTCGCAGAGTAGGGGGCATTAGCGCCATATTCGAAGCGGTTCCTAAATCGACGTACTCAAGCATGTTCGACTATTTTCAATCATTATTTTTGAAATCGAACTTCTGTAAATATAAGTCCCAGTGCTCTAGGGACGAGTGCGTCATCATTAGGAACGCGTCAAATATGGTGCTGGTATGGTACCTTCGAGGAATCAATTATCCTTCGGACTCAATCTGGAAATATTTTACAGTGACCTTAAGATTGTGTGGTTTTATCGTAAAACATGTTAAGAGCGATGCAAGGAGTGTGATATACTAACGAAATGTCATAATCGGCAGATTTTGTGACGTTTTGACGAACGATAATTTTTTAGTCATTTGATAAGTTTTAATATTCATTAGTTCCAAATTCCTACTGCGCACTTCCAATAAGTTGTTTTACGTTAGTTGATAACGTACAGGAAGCTGGTTCCAACATTCAGATTCTTAATCGTACCGTTGGTAAGGAACAGCTGCTTTTTAGCCTCATCGATTCTGAACGTTCCTTCTTCGATGATCAACTTTCCAGCGCGGTAGTCTTGGAAGGTCGGTGGCCTTCTCGGTCCCATAACGGGATCTTCAAATCGCAAAATTTCCAATGCCGATAAGTCAGCTGTAACGAAACATAATTTAAATGTGTCAAGGAATTTCAACAAAATTGAATTAAGCGACCTACCTTTGAATTCAATCTGCTTGGCAAGTTTTTCCCGGAACTTCGTGCTGGTGTCACCATCACTTAGATTCAAAGTCACCGTAAACAGTCCGGATCGTTCGATCGGATTTTCCAGCGTCACGGAGACGAAAGGTTTTACCGTAAATATGACGTACGGAGCTCCCGGTCGGACTTCCTCCTTCATCTTCTCCGGTGCATCCGCTTCGTCGGTGAATCGAATGTGTAGGGATTCTAGTTCCAGAGTGTTCTTCAAATATTCAATGTTCTTTTCCAGCACTTCCCGTTCGTCAAAGTCCAGTGTAACGTCCATAGCGCTCTTTCCCGGTCCACCGGCCGATTCGACGCGTTCCCGCACCATCTGAGCAAACGGCATTACTCGTTTCATAAACTTCTTCAAGACTTCTTTTTTGCCCAGCTCTACGGAAATAACCTTATTATCCGGAAGAGTGTTGTTCTTCTCGTACAATTCTCGCATCGTGTCCAGCACGCAGCTCTGCCATGGTGGGAAAGATTTGGCTACCCAAATGGTTCCCTCGCTGGGTTTGATTGCTGCAGGTGCCGTTTTGCCACCCTTGGTTTTAGTCTGTGAAATAATCTTCAAATTGACACGGAACGAATGGGCGGCATCCATCAAATACGCAGAGCATTTGATTTTCTTTTCGTCAATAGTGCCAACCTGAGGCCAGGCCGCTTTTAGGATGCTAGTTTTGTTACCCAACAGCTGCCACACATGTTCGGCAACGTGTGGGCAAATCGGAGCCATCAGCAGAGCCTGACGGCGAATGAACTCCATCGCCAAGTCCACGTGCATTCCTTCCGATCCACAAAGTTCCCTGTACTTGTCACGAGCTGACTGGAATTCGAAGAATCCTGTCCTCAGAGCTTCCTTGTACAGCATCTTTTGGAAGAAATCGTCAGTCTCCTTCACCTTCAGATTCATTTCGCTCATGAAAACGGCATCGTTGAAATCGTTCTGCGGTCCCTTTCGCAGCATGGCCTTCGCAGCGAGAGTCTCCTTCACCCATTCGATGAACGTGTACAGTCGCAGGATTCCCGCATCGGCACTACTTTCCACAAAGTTGGCATCCTCAATGCTGTCACCAGCATCGGCCAGGCAGAGTCGCGTTCCGTCGGCACTGAACTTGGAAATCGCTTCGTACAGGGTCAGGAAGTTACCATCCGATTTGGACATTTTAGCCGAGTTCAGCAGCAGATGACCGTTGCAGCGGATACCGCGGGGCCACTTGGATGGGTCGTTCGGCCACATGGCGACGTGGTTGTACAGGAAGAAAGTCAAATGGTTCTGGATCAGATCCTTGCCGGAGACACGCAGATCTACGGGGTACCTGTCAAGGGCGGTAGAATTGATAAGTGTTATTCAATGGCATTTTGTTTTCCGCGAACCATTAGTGGTGAAGATGAATAGAGGAGTGTACGTTAGAAATTTAACCTCCAAATGGAAGTGAAGCTTCTAATAATTTACGATAGAGAAACGGGAATTACAGAACAAAGAGGCAACAAAAAACAAACCTACCAAACTTGCGACTAAAACTGGTTATATTGATTTATTAAAAGAAAAAGAACCACTAAATTGAACAAGATAAAGGAAACATAATAGATTCAAAACAACAGAATAGAAGATATGAAAAATTGTAGTAAAGCACTAAACAATACACAACATACCAAAAGTGAACAAAAGGTAAGTATATAAGAAATCAAAAACAATAACATAAAAATTATAACACCAACAACAATTCAGCGAAGCACAGCTTAAACAATAAAAAGGACAAAAAATATAACGTATAACAAAAAACAGAGCAGAACACAACACATATGCTAGGAAGAGAAGCAAAAAATAAACGAAAATGGGAAAAGAAAACCGGAAATTATACCACCGCATTGAAAATCATTACTGCTAAAAAAAAGGACCGACCAAGTCCTAAGCAACCCCCTTACCAATAATTAAACTCCTTCTTCAGCTTTTCCAGGTGCTCCTTCTTGATCTTGGTCATAGCGGGGAATTTGGCCTCCTTGAAGAAGATATAGTCCCAAACTTGCGCCGTCATATCGGCCGGTTTAATTCCCAGCGGACTCGGTTTCTCCCCACGGAACGAACCATCCTGTAGCAGGTGCACCACCGTATAGAACGCCATGTAGATCGTCGAATCCGACAGCGATTCAATCAACCACTGGTCATCCCAGGGTAGTTTCGTTCCCAGACCGTAAGTTCGCGAACAGGCATACTCGTGCAGCCAGTCCAGACAGTGTTCGAAGTTCCGGGCGACTTCGTCGTGATAGACCTGCATCGTGCGGAGGTGATCCGTCGTCGTCTTTTGCCAGCTCTCTTCACCGTAGTTCAAATACCACTGGTTGCATAGGGCCACTACGCAGACGTCTCCTGAACGTGACATGATGGTTTTCTCCGGTTCGTAGTACACGTCGGCTTCGTTCCGTTCGACCAGGTATGCCTTAAGATCCTTTTTCACGTCCTGAACCTTTTTTCCTGCATGTTCACCAACGAGGAGCACTCCGTCATAGAAGCCCTTCAGGTAGACCAGTTCTTTAGCCTCTGTCAGCTTGTCACGATCGTTCTGACTTTGGACCTTGAACTTTTCGTAGGCGTAAATAGCGCTCAACTTTCCTAGTCCAGGCACTTCAATGATTGGAATCGGTTCAAAGGGCAACACCATTTCGTCGGTAATGGAGTACTTTTCCCTGAAGGCAGCCTTTTTCTGCAGATCGAGCAGCGCGGCATAATCGTCGGGGGAATCCGACGGCACCGAAGTGACAATGCCCGTTCCTTTGTCCTCCTTGATCGACAACATTGGGAGTGTATAGATGACCTTATTCGGAGTCAGAGGAGCGGACAGTGCTAGTCCTATAATTTCCTGACCAGTAAGCTCAGCGATTTCTTTTACTTGACCTTCCACTGCGGTAAATCCCTGGTAGGCCATATTCCGAGCAGAGCGTCGAGTACAAATCCATACTTCTCCGTTACGATTGGTTTCAAAGGCGATGTACTTAATGTCCGGATGCACCCAGCAATTGGTTTGGCCATACATAGTTTCCGGTCTCAAGGTTCCGCAAACCAGATAGACAGGTGCCTTGACGGATGCCAGCTTGGCTGGCAGTTTTCCCGTAATCTTCATCTTAATCAAAGTGTACTCCTGAGGTCCGACACCTTCTCCGGACGATCGGTCGTGATCCATGCAAGGTTGTCCGTCCTTCGGGGAGAAAATGCTATGCCTCTTTCCGTACATAATCTTTCCCCGCGCCTTCAGATGATTAAACTGCCAGCGAACGAACGAATCAAAGAACGGATTAGCGTCCGTAGTGATGAACGTTCTCCTCCAATCGATATGACATCCAATCGCCTTCAGATCCTTAATGGCCAACGGCGGGAAGTAGTCGAGCCAGTGATCCGTATCGGCAAACTTCTTAATCTCCGTATCATTTAAGCCCAGACTTTGCATAATCTGCCATTGGTACTTTGCCGCTCCCGCCTTGGCCACAGCCTTACTCTTCTTGCCCTTGCTCTTATCCTTCGGAACGACGTCTCTCTCCTCAACGACCTCCACTTCCTGGTCGGCCGGGAACACCGGAGGACAACCGAACGTTTCCATCTCTCGTTTCAGCTTATCCGCACAAGCCTTGATGGGCATTCCCGTACAGTGAAATCCAAAGGGAAAAAGAACCTGCTTTCCCTTCAGTCGCTGGAATCGAATGGCAAATTCCGCTTTCGACAGTGAAAACGTATGCCCCAGATGGAGTCTTCCGTTCATGTATGGGAACGGGAAGGTGACCAAGAATTTATCATCCGGACTTTTCCTCGGAGTAGCGGCTGCATTGTTTTCGTGCAGTTTTTCACGATCCCATCGTTCCTGCATCTCCCGCTCGATCTTCTGCAGGTATTCCACCTTGAAGGTTCCCTTCCTTTCCGTAGCCTGTGGGAAGATAAATGGGATTCTCGTTAGGGAAAAATGTGTAAATACTTGACGAGATTGCATCACTTTGTTTGCCATGAACCAAAACCAGATCTTACCATTTTCAGCGTCCCTTGGGTGATTACACTATATTCCGCGAAAATGCACCTTTTTATCCGATTTTACAAGCGAAAATGCTGAATATCCGTGTCCACATGGAAGTTTTGGGCCGGTTTATCGGAAAAAGAACGATTCACCAAACACGTCCTCGGTGTTTTGGCGATTTCTGACAGTTTTGACACGCGCGAGTCAATGGAGTGGCTGGCAAGTAGACCGGTTAGATGGATTCGAGCAATTCAGGGTTCGTTGATATAAAACGTAATTAATGTTGTGACCACCGACATTCGAAAAACGCAATATTTTGAAAATTTTACTTCTGGAACCACGAGAAAAGTAGCCAAAATGTGTGCGTTTCATAAAAAAAATGAAATTGCTGGTCCAGTTTTTTGTAAAATCACTGGTTAAAAGTTGCGTCAAAACTGCGTGACAAACCTAAAAAAATTTGTATTGTTATTTTGCTTAACGACGTGTTCAGGGTATTATTCAATCCATTTGTGGAAAAGTTCTAACATTTGGGTTATCGTTCGGGTATCGATTTTTTTATTGGGGAAAGTGGTCTATTGTTTCTGTTTTTTTGTGCAAATTGCATTGTTAGGCGTTAAGAGTAGGGGTGAGGGTGGATTTGTTCTAGGAGACAACTGGGATGTAGATTTGAATCCAGTTTTGATGGTTAATTTTCAAGCTTATTGGTTTCTTTTTTATATCTTTACTAGCTGAGTGTGCCCGGCCTTGCTATACCCCCTATGACCTCCACATGCCAAATTTGGTTCCATTTGCTTGATTAGTTTTCGAGTTAGGCAGAAATTTCTGTTTCATTTGTATGGGAGCCCCCCTTTGTAGAGAGGTTAGGGATCTCGAACCATCATAAGAACCTTTTCCTGCCCCAAAAAGCCTTGCATACAAATTTTTACGCCGATCGGTTCAGTAGTTTCCGAGTCTATAAGGGACAGACAGGCAGACAGACAGACAGAAATTCATAAAATTTTTATATAGATATATAGATAGATTAAGGGGGTATTCCCGATCTTTTTTTTCAAAAAATCAAATTTTTTTTTCACGTTTTTTTGTACTTTAGACTATATACTTTCATCCCCCCAAGCCGTTTTCCGATCAGCGAATTCGGTGTCCAGGCATAGCTGACTAATGGTAAGAACCCCCAAATGGTTTTAACTAAAGTCAAAACTTTAAACGCGTTTTTCTCGAAACCACATTTTTTTATCGGGCGAAGATTTTTCTCAAAAACTATAAGAGATATTGACTTGAATCTTTGCGCATTTTGCGCAATTCTTTGGAGCTTCTCCCACTTTTAGCCAAAAATATTAACATTTAACATTGTTTGAAGCACCTTAAAGCTGCAAAAAAGCGGGCTAAAAATCACCTGTTTTTTCATATGGCCGCCATTTTGTTAATTTGCAAGATTTTTTGCTGCCAACGGGAGAAGCTCCAGAGAATCTTATGCAGATTATTAATTTCATCACGAAATCTGTTTCAGATGAAGCCGTTCCAGAGAAAAGTCTTCGCCCGTCCAGGCGTTTGCGGCGAACAAGGGTCTGTTTGCCGCCATTTTGTGACGTCAATAATGTCTTTTTTATGTCGAAAAAAATTTATTTGTAAACTTTAATGTTCAATAAACAAGAATCCCAAAGAGTTAGGCGCATTACTATTCATTTTCCTTGAAAAAAAATTAATTGAAAAACAGGCCGAAAAAAGGCAAAAGATTGGGAATACCCCCTTAAGGAGACTTTCAGCCCTGGGCTGGTTCGTCTCCGGAAGGTTATTGGTATTTTTGATTTTAATGTGTGCAAAATTTCTGTCACAACTATCAGTGATAATTAACATGGATAATAGTCAACAGGGACTGCAGGAACGAATCAAAACCCTGCAAAGAAGAATATAAAAACCATTTTTGATTCCAATGTTTGTATTACGTAATATTTAATTGGACCCTAACGGCAGTGCAAGTCAGCTAACTTGCACTCAACTTCGGTGTCGCGTGCAACAATACAACTGCTCGAAACAATAACCGAGGAAAATATTGAGCAACTGTCACCTTTTGTTTACGCCTTCCATTCGTCTATTTACATCTGCGAGTGCTGGACCGCCATCGGATTGCTTCCTGGATTTTCCGCGAAAGATTCCTCTTGATTTACCTTTTTTCGCATCTCAGTCGACCCACTAAACCAGCAGTCAAAATGTCTTATATGTTAGCACATTTACACAACGGATGGCAAGTGGACCAGGCCATCCTTTCGGAAGAGGATCGAGTAGTGGTAAGTAGCACTGATGGTAAATCTTGAATCTCCGGAGACATTCACTTTCCGTTAATTCTAGGTAATCCGCTTCGGGCACGATTGGGACCCAACTTGCATGAAGATGGACGAAGTGCTCTACAGCATAGCGGAAAAGGTGAAAAACTTTGCCGTCATCTATCTGGTGGACATTACGGCCGTTCCTGATTTCAACAAAATGTACGAACTGTACGACCCGTGTACGGTGATGTTCTTTTTCCGCAACAAGCATATCATGATCGATTTGGGCACGGGTAACAACAACAAGATCAACTGGCCACTGGAGGATAAGCAGGAGATGATAGACATCGTTGAAACGGTCTATCGGGGTGCGCGCAAGGGTCGCGGTTTGGTGGTGTCTCCCAAGGATTACTCGACGAAGTATAGGTACTAGGGCGTGTGAAATGAGTGTCGCAAAGAATGTGTGTGTAACATAAATTAGGACTATTTAACAATAAATTTCTTAAATTATAGATCAAATGTAAACCCGTCAAAGTTTGCCAGTAGATATCACATTTTTATTCTTCAGCTTGAGCTGCATTCATTCTTTTGCAAAAGATGTTTCAGGTACAATAGGGGGAGTGGTAGGGGGTTTGGTATTTAATAGGGTAGAGAACTAGTTCGGCCTAATCGTCCATTTTGGGCCTATCGAGCAGAACACTTCAAATAAATCCATGATTTCAGAGTTAACATGTCAATTATGCGTTTGGTACGATACTTTAGTTAATAAGCTACCGAACGAAGTCAATGAGAACGCGTGATATGAAGGTTTGCACCCATTATTTCCAAAATCAAAAGAAGCGCTCCGACCGAATCAATTTTTATCTTCATCCAATAGGCCGAAGTAAATTCATTTTCAATGGCGTTTCAATGCGCTAGGCCGGGTTTAGAATCCGTAGGCCGAGTTTGGCGTCAAGCATGCTTGGCATGCACAGTTGTACACACCAACTGCTCATTTGGTAATAACTTTTCACTAAGATGTTGAAATTTATTTTTCTTTAAAGTAATTGATAGATTAGGCTCATAGTTTACTACAGATATGCGAAGATTAGGTAAAGCTTAACATTTGAATCAACACTAATCAATTTTACACTTAAATTCCGAGATGTGTAGTGAGCATTTCTCACCTCATTTTTACAACGCAAAAACAAATACAGTTTACTACTAGCATTAAAATCTACTTTTTTTTACATATCTATAACAAGCTTACACTTTATTCTATCTACTGAGAACTATGTTCCGAAAACTGCGTGCAAAGTTATTAGCAAATGAGCAGTTCGTAACCAAAACTGTGTATGCCAAGCATGGCGTCAAGAAGCAGTGTTAGACTTTTGACAATATCTCAACGATTGGTTTCTCTTTATCAAATCTTACGGTACATACGGGAAGGTAAATAAATTTGGAAGCCATCCGTAATAATAACATTCCGTTTGGTGCTAAACTGCGCTAGATAAAGAAGGACTAAGTGCGGATTGTGCTTAATAGGCCGAAAATGGGGTAGTTAATCCTATCCATTAACTCAATCTGGTTCATTTTTACAAACTTGTTGACAATGCTTCTAATATGCATCTCCATGAAAACCATATCAAAATTCAATTATATATCAATAATAATGAAAAATTATTAGAAAATATTTAATAAAGATAATAATGCAAAATTAATTTAATGTAACATTAGTTCAAAATCTCTAAATATTATAAGATTTGTAGTCATAAAAAAAGCGTTACATTCACCATATACCACCACCGTTTTTACCGATACGCTGGTTTACACGCTGGCGAAAAATATTCGTACCTATCATACCTTAAATACCTTATGTTCTATTTCACATAATTCCTAATGTTATTTTCTAGTGAAAACCTGTAAAAAGGTTAACTTTTACTAAGGTGCTCATATTAATTTCCACGTATGGTTATTGATCGGAGCGAAAAGTGACATTTTTCATACATATGACTTTAATGAGTAGGGGAAACGTCGGCTTCGACAATACCGGCAATACGAGCAGAACGATGCTCTGGAACATGATGCACCTTCATGAAATAAATCAGCATCTTAAGACTTCGTTTAACCCCTGACGATAACAGGTATAAAGAAGTGCCGATGCCAGAGTCTCCTTATAGCATACTTTATCCATATTTTGAACACCGTATATTATCAAACATATTCCAAAGCATGAGTTAATCACAGCTATGATGATGATGATGATGATGATGGTCTCACCTCATACCCCTACAAAGGTTTGAGCTATCATACACTTAGCAATGTTTTTCATGTGTTATGATGTGTTATTTTTAGATGCCCCCATCTTCCCTATCAAAAAATTCAAGATCGGAAAAAATCAAAACAGCCGTCTACACCAAAATTATTTTCATCAAATTTAAATCTTGTGGATAATTGATTTCGTTGCGTAGTCCAAAAACAGTTGGGTAGTTTCAATAAGATATTTACACCGAAAAACCGACATGACACTTAATTCTGACTAATGCCCGAAAATCGAAAAACGGCCGATTTAAATCGTCGTGTACAGCCTCCGGGATCGCGCTTTGGCCGTCGTATTTTGTTTATCATCGCGATTTGGAGTCACTACCTTCTTGTAAGTCGATAGTCCGGCTCGTTTTTTGGCTCGATGCACGGTTGTAGACGATACACCCAGCTTATTTGCGGCATCTCGGAGAGAGAGGTTAGGGTTTCGCTTGAAACTACCGGCAACTCTCTTTGTCGTCTCAGCGGCTTCCGGTTTTCGATTTCCCCCCGATCCAGACTTCCTGGCTGTCGACAAACGTTCCCCAAACACTTTAATTACATTTGTAACGGTTGATTTGGCAACTTTTAGCGATTTTGCCAACTTTGCGTGCGAGTAGCTCGGATTTTCGCGATGCGCGAGCAAAATTTTGATACGCTGCTCTTCTTGCTTGGACGGCATTTTGACAACTGAAGAGTGAATTCCAAAATCAAAATAGGAGCAACATTCTACACACACACCTTCAAAATGAGGGGTGTTCAGGTTTTTTAAATGCAATATTGAAAGAAATACGTCAAGTTGATATTGACCAAATTTTGACCGTATAACCCTTTAAAACATTTTTTTTTAGCCGAAATGAATGGAAGGAACCCTGTTCCTAAGTAACCAAAAGTTCCGCATTCAACGATTAAAATCGTTTCATAATCACTTCCAAGTTCCATAAAGTTCAAATAAAGTTCCGACAGAACTTTCAAGTTCCATAAAGTTCGAATAAATTTCTGAAAGAACTTTCAAGTTCAAATAAAGTTCCGACAGAACTTTCAAGCCACATGAAGTAATCCGCACAAGTTTTTATTAGTAGCAAAATTTAATGTACGTAAATATGAAATGATCAGTGGCAGTGCATCAACATTCTATTCAAACATGAAAATAATTTAAGAGTAATTTCCTGGATGCGAACCCGTGTATTCGGCATGCGATCTACGATTGCTAACCACTGCACCACAAGTGTGTTGGAATACCATGCGGGCAAACACCAATTTAAAATTCATCAAGGTATTATGTGGTATTATGTTTCGTAATCAAGTCAGTCAGCTGGCACTGAAAACTTCAACAGTAGGCGGGACAACAGTTCACTTTAATGTATCTTAGATGACGTACACTAATAGAATTCCACACATTTTTATTGGCGAATTTCCATGTAAAATTCCACTTGATTTTCGTGTGACCACACATAAACAGAATCCACCTAGAACCACACATGAAATTTAAGAGTCAAATGTTACACATAGCTTTTATGTTTACACATATTAAGTATGTGTCCGACACATAGATACCATTTGTTGATCACATTGCAAAAATTCATGTGTGGGACACATAAAAACAATCTTTGAAATTTTATCAGTGTAGAGGTTCGTGCTGGGGCTCTCACGCAGAAGGACTGGGTTTAATTCTTCAAACAGCTTAAATACTACTACTAATACTGATAAATCAATACACATTAATACCTGCCTTATACCCCGTTCACATTACAGCCTATATCACGTAATATAGGCTGTCTTGCAATGAGCACTCATACATAGGATTTCCAGTGAAAAGTAGATGTATGACTGCTCATTGCAAGACAGCGTATATCACGTGATATACGCTGTAATGTGAACGGGGTATTAAGAAATAACTGTCATTTAAGTGCGAACTTAAATATAGAATTGGTGTAGAGGACAAAAACCTTTTTTAATTTATTTTCTAAAAGTTCCGTTCAAGTTCCGCCAGAAGCTGCTTAGAATGCTCTTCAATTATGGTACCGGAACTTTCAAGCTCTTATAACGACATAAAAATGAGGCTGCTTAGAATTCTATAGACCACCTTCAACCAAGCTGCTTAAGCCACAAATAGCCTTTTATCAGAACTTTTTGTTACTTGGGTTTTGACGTTTGAAATAGAGCGGCCAAAACTAGACCAACCGGTGCGTACGTAGACAGTTTGATCTATTTTGGCTTTATCTATTTCATTTTAGCTGTTTCAAATGTGACATAAATTTGGATCTAGATCAGATCACCGCTAAAGATGCCCGAAGATTCATTATAAGATTAGGGAAACTCTACTGTCTAGAGCAGCCCGCGGGCTGGACCTGGTCTCTGGATCTCAGCAAGAATATCATTCTAGCCCAATTTTATTCATCATTATGAATTTCAACCCAGAATGAATGAGAAATAAACAAAATGCATCTTGAAACATGTTAATCGATCAAAGATACAGCCATTTTAAAAATTACAAGGGACAGCCCTATGGGGTTGTACGCAATAGTGACGTAGGACTACGAGGTCCTATTTAATAAATCTTATTTGTTAACTGCAGCAGGAGATTGTGTTTTGTGTAGGAATAGGAATTTGAGCGGGGTTCTCTCTGTTTATACTCTTTAGTATGACGCGCTTGACAAAGACGGCCCACAGCGACTCACGAAGAGCTACACCCAACAAACAATTTGAGTTGATTAACAACTGAATAAGCCATTTTTTAGCTGAAGAAGCTTATTTTTGCCTGAATAAGCTCTTATTTAACATTCAATGTTTGTTGGGCTGATTCCGATGAATAGCGGTGCGGCTTCTTCCTCCTTCTATGGATGTGCCATGTGGGCTGCAGCTCACTGCTTGCAGGTAGTCTTCCGTTGTGTACTGGAGAACAATGTTCAACGCCACGCGCCGAAAGCACTGCTACTGCTGCTGCTGCTGATGCCGACGACCGGACACCACCACACACGGTGATTGGAACTGAATTCGATCAGCGATTGAGGCCAGCCTTGATAGTTAGCTGCTTGCGGGGAGCCTTTCATTGTATCCCGGAGAACACCACCACTCACACCGCAGTGATTGAATAAACACCGTTTGGTGAGACCGGATGGAATTCAACTTCAAAATCTGTGTTAGGGGAATCGCTTTTCGCACGCAATTGGTGATAATTTTAATTATCATTGCAACAGTTG